AAATCATATATATTTATGTTAATAATAATAATAATATAATAATAGTTTAAACTATATTATAATATTATTTATTATATATAAAAATTCAATCATATAAAATACAATTTAAAAATATCAAATTCACTCTATTTCTCATCTAATTCTACTCTATTAAACAACTATAAATTTCATTCTATTTTTTACATATTTTTTATCAAATCAATTCTCACATATTCTCTTCTATTATCTTTTATTCCTCCCCTCTCCCAAACAAAATATAAAATACATAATTAATTACAGCAGTCATCTTTTATAGGATTTTAAACCCCATTTTTACTTGGGGTAAGTTATACAATCTCCGAGTAGGTATTATGAAAGATAACCATGTTATTAGATGATGATATTGTATATGCATTTATTATCTTTTCTTTTGTTATGTGATCAATATAAAGGAAAAAAATTGTTAATCACCGATACATTGTCATTGTAAGATTTTTTTTACACCGACAATCAATCATATCTTTTAATAGTGACATGTCAGTTACTTATTTAATGAAATAAAAATAAAATATAATAATTTAAAAGATATGATTGGTTGTCAGTGTAAAAAACTTTACACTGACAATGTATAGGATGATTAACTCGGAAAAAAATATGTTGCATATCAAATTGATTGAGTTGGGCTGCGTGTATGTACAACAGGGTTCCAGTCTTAACAGAGGCTTACCATCACGGAAATTTTATCCATTGGTTCATGCTGTCAATGCTAGACTTCCTAATGCCACAATTCAAGACGCGTAAAGTCGAATTCCCTTAACTTCTTTCAAATGTTTATATTATTTGTTAGAATATTATTGTTTCTTGTTTATGAGTGTGTTACTTCTGTAGTGGTCTATGCAAGCCGGGAAAACTTGATCCATCCAAAATAAGGGGAAACATATTGATCTGCATTCGACTTGATGGAACAACATCAGTAGCTCAGGGTTACGAAGCTGCTAAAGCTGGCGCAGTGGGAATGTTTGTGGTCAATGATGAGAAAGGTGGCAACACACTTCTAGCTGAGCCTCTTCCTATACCAGCAGCGAGTTTAGATATCAACCAGGATGAGGATATTGATGAGCGTGAATGGTTTGGAAAAGGAGGTTCAGACAAAAACATTAGCAGGTAATCATATATCACTCAACACTTAGTGTTTGGATGATTGTTTGTAAAATTGGTTTTGAAATAAAGTGATTTATGCTTGAAGTAATATACATGAGGTCATAAATTTTAACTTCAGTGTGATCATTGAATACCAAATAATGCTTCAATTTGAAATCAATTTTGAATCCTGAATCAACCTCTTAACTTGAAATATTTACATGAACTCATGTTAGCAATTATTTCAACGTGATTTTAGAAAATCTAATATGAATCCAAACACAGGCCGTTTCATTCTAAAAATACTTGCAGCAAATGAAAAACTTCATTCATAAATTACTCTGCAGGAAACTTGCTGCTTACATGACTGTTGCAAGAACATATTTAGGAATAAAGCCTGCTCCAATTATGGCTGGATTCTCATCCAGGGGTCCCAGTGCAGTACAACCATTGATACTCAAGGTCTACATTTTTTAATTTCATCATCATGCCATGTTTTTTTTTCTTACTTTTAGTAAGACGGTAACTCCTTCATTGCTTTTGTAATTTTCTGTTTCAGCCTGACATAACTGCTCCTGGTGTGAACATATTGGCGGCTTATTCACTAGCCGCAAGTCCATCAAATCTACCATCAGATAGACGCCGTGTTCCTTTCAATATACAACAAGGAACTTCTATGTCATGCCCTCATGTTGCTGGTGTCGTAGGTCTTCTCAAAACACTTCACCCTGATTGGAGTCCAGCAGCTATAAAATCAGCCATTATGACTACTGGTAAGTTGGCAAAATAGTACATCTATATGCATATAAGAAAAGAAACACAGATTACCCTTTTACCATTGTCAAAAATATATAATCACAATATTGCACTAAAAATTTTGGAAAAATCTTTCCTTAATAGAAATTATGCTATTCATGTAGCTACTACACTAGATAACAACAACCTACCGATTCGGGACGCATTTGATCAGATAGCAACTCCATTTGATTATGGCTCAGGACATATTAGGCCTAACCTTGCAATGGACCCTGGACTTGTTTATGATATGAGAACAAGGGATTACTTGAACTTCATATGTGCTCATGACCACAACCAATATTTACTCAAATACTTTAATCGAAGCTCTTACAATTGTCCAAAGTCTTACAACATTGAAAATCTGAATTACCCTTCGATCACGGTAGCAAATCGAGGGATGAACCCTATAAATGTTACTCGTACAGTTACCAATGTGGGGACTCCAACAAGCACATATGTTGTGAGAGCTAACGTAAGTGATGGATTTGAGGTTGTTGTTCGACCAAGTTCATTGACTTTTAAGACAATTGGAGAAAAGAAGAGCTTTCGGGTTATTCTTCTGGCAACTAGTGTGCCTAGTCATGGTTTTCCAGTATTTGGGAACTTGTCTTGGACAGATGGCAATCACACAGTTACCAGTCCTATTGTAGTCCTGTAACCTTAGAACTTGCTCTCAGGAATGTTATCTTACCATTTGAGTGTGTGCGTGTTTCATGTTATTAGGATATAACTCATTAGTCTTAAGTGCTTTTATTATTAGAATGTCGTTGGATCGAACTTCATTTCATTGGCGTTGTGTTTGTATTAGGCACCCTCACAATCATGTACGGAGCTTATACGCAAGTCTAACAAGTAACAACATACAGTTGTAAACTGATTAATGAAACCTTTTTTTTCTGAATTAAAATTAATCAATATTAAGTCCCATTGCCCAATTTAGCATTCTACCTTTACGATCTTGTGAGTCAAACAACTGAATCATTCACCGTAACTAGTGTAAGTTCTGTTGGAAAAACAATTCAATTTTACAAATAAATGTTGCAGGTGAAAAATCAAAAAGTGACTACTTAAGGTTTGTAGATTTGAGATAAAATATGGGGTGGGTTAGACATAGTAAAACACTTTTGAATCGATTTCGTGTACGTAAGCAAGAGCTGGTATCAAAGTGTAGTTTGAGATCAACGATGTACCAAGACTTTTGGGTGCAACAAGTCTCGATCATTCAAGACTTGATGCTAATAATGCTATTTATGGGCCAAGTTGATGTCACCAAGAGTTTGAGCTGACCCTGTTTATTTTGAACAGAGACTTCACTGTGTGTATGTAAGCCCCACTCTTGATCGAGTTGTAAACGGATCGAAGTTGCTTCTGCTATATATATAGTCATTATATATTTCAATAGCACCTTGATGAGCAACATAGCCGCGTATTCTAGGATCGTTGGACTGTGGCTTTGTTGTTCAGATTTATGTTTGTTTTAAGATATTTTTCTCTAATTTAGGTTGGTATAGGCAAATCAAACATGAGTGATGAGTCTCAGAGAGCGAAGTTTATAACGTTTTTAGTAAATAATAGAAGAAAAACAAAAATACGGTGGATATCAGACAAGAATTTAGAATTTTACTTGTCTAATCATTTAGTATAATTACTAATTACATAACAACAACACCAAGAAAGCTTATGTAGTATGAAAGTTATATGCAATTTAACAATATGGTGAATTTTGACACTCTATATACAAGTTCTTCTCTCCAAGACGCCAACTTAATCTTGATTAGGAAGGTAGATCTGGTTTTTCAGAATCCAGAATTCCTTCACCATCACCCAACCAACATTTCATTGCAATTGAACAATTTGAATAGAGTTTTTGGGCTACTTTGAGAGAAATAAAAAGAATCTTGTTAATTTTAAGGAAACATGTGTTAAAGTAATGCATTGGATTAGCCTATTTTAGTTTCAGTTTTTTTTTAATAACAAAAAAATGAATACTTCGAAGAAAATCGGAAACCAGATAGTTTTGCTTGGAAAAACAAAAAGTAAAACATTGAAACTAGATTTGGAAAAAAGAAGAAAGAAGCCTCAGATTGTGTGAAAAGCGTGCATCACACTAGGCAAAACCAGTTTGCTTTTCAGACGGCACTTACACGGATAAGAATAAATCATCATTGGCTTCAATACTCATACAATTACATAGAAATGAAAAAGAAAAGACAAAAGACATGTTTATCATTCTCTAAGTTCAAATACAGCACAAAAACTCAGAGACGAACAGAACGGCGCCGTATGAAGAGGGGCTTTCTTTGTAGCAAGCAGAATAGTAGATTAGGGTGGAAGAAGGAGACACATTATATAGTCAACCACGTAAACCCTAGCAATTTTTTTAACCCAACAATCGCGTATATTCACAAAACGACATCGTGAAAACTTACTTACTTATTTTATTATTATTTATTTTAATATATGTTAAATTTTATTTATATATATATATATATATATATATTATACCGATATAATTTTTATTAAGTCTTATTTTAATTTTTTGTTTCAAACCCTAATTTGATCTTTTATAATATTTTTTTTTTGTTTTAATTTAATCTTATTTTAATTATTGATTTCAATTTAGTCTCTAATAATTTAAATTAGTGCAATGTCGGACTTTCGACCAAATTATTTAAACGGAGTTAACTGTTGGTCACGTGGATGTCACGTAGATGCATAAGTAGATGCCAAATTTCTTTAATGCACCTGGAACCAGAATGGACCGTTCTGGTTGCACATGTTGTGTGTTAACTTTGCATCTGGAACGGACTGTTCCAGATGCAAAATTAACACACCACGAATGCAGCAGAACGGTCCGTTCTGAAATCATAACGGATCGTTCTGAAATCCGAACAAACCGTTCTGATTTTAGAACGGGCCGTTCTGGATTCAGAACGAGTCGTTCTAGAACGCCAACCACATACGTACGTTCAACAAAATGCCGCAATGTGGTTCAAAAATTGAAAATAAAAATTCATAACATAACATATACTAAGAAAGTTCAAAGAAATTACTAAGAAAGGAAATCATCTGGATAATGCTGAAGGTGCCAATAATACATCTTATCCACAATGAAAAGTATTGTAGATTAAATAAGAATCAACCTAAACAACAACTAAAAAAACACAAGCAATTGTGATTAAAGAAGAAAATGATGATGAAGATGGGTATTTATTTATGACATCTTAAGAACTCATTGACCAAGAAAGGTATGATAATTATTAAAGATGTTCTTTACATTATAAAATTGGATCAAAATCTTTTTAGTGTTCCACAAATGTTAGGAATGAATATGAAGGCTCTTTGAAAGAAAATTATTGTTTTATCATGGATGAACATGGTTTAGAGATTGTAAAAATTGATGATCAAAAATAATTTTTATTTGAAATTTGACTTAATTAAAGATCATGATTTTATCGCTAAAATTAATGAGAGTAATATTTAACATGAAAGATTTTGTTACAATTTTATGCAAGATGTATTTGATATGATAAATCTCAACAAATGGTATTTAAAGAAATGAAGAGGAGTTAAATTGAATGATTATGATAACAATGATTTAGGTCAAGAAATCGAATAACTTGATGACATAGTACTTCTAAAATCAATTTTTTGAGTTCATAATTAAAGTTTGGGATATTCATAATAACAAATCTTATGAAGAAGTGTTAGATTTATGAAATTTTACTATATTTAAACTTTGAATTTTGAATAAATTTTATATAAGATATATGTTATTGTTACAATTTTATCTTTTATATTTTGTTTTCAGTTATTCAATGTAATCTCAACAAATAAAATTGTTAATAAATAAGATTTGTTAAAATTTTTAAAATAATTACAAGTCTATACATAAGCATCATTTTCCATAAATTTTATGATAATTTTAAGGATAATTTATCGCCTTCAATTTTAATTTCAATTTATCTATAAGATCTAATTTTTTATAATATTTTTCACAAAATATTTTCAACAAAAAGAATCAGTACAATTTTGTTATATTCAATAAATTTAAGTTGATAAAAATAGTGTACGAAAAAAATGAAGAAGAAAAAGAAGCTTACAACACACACACACAAAAAAAAGGTTCAATAATTTATGAGTTGACCAAGTGTGACCGAGGGGAGTGAATCCATTGGATATGATTTTGGCATCAGAAACTCATTATGAACTTGTTTCATGTTTGGACGAAGACGTGGATTTTCACTTAAGCAAGCAAATGCTACGTTTGAAATCAATATCACCTCCTCAACATCTGGCTTCACCGGATGAGGTAGTCGTTGATCCAACACATCCTTTAACAGCAAATTCGACACTGATGACGTTTCAGAGGATGAATATAATGGAAAAATGAGATCTCCTGGATGCTTTCCCATTAGTATTTCCAAACAAAGCACTCCAAAACTAAACACATCAATTTTCTCATTCACTTCCATAGTATACGCAAGCTCTGTAATAGACCAAAATACGAAAATGATATTATACAAGTAGCAGAACTTGTTATTGAAACAAGACTAGTATATAATATATAATAGGATTAGTTTCTTAATAACAAAAAGGACCTAACCTGGTGCAGCATACCCATAGGTGCCTGCAAACGTTGTAATATTGGATGAATTATGATACAAGATTTTAGTTGTTCCAAAGTCAGAGAGATGGGCTTCATAATCAAAATCTATTAGAACATTCTTGCTTGATATGTCACGATGAACAATAGGACGAGAGTAACCATGATGCATGTGATACAAAGCATTCAATACGCCTTTAACAACCTTCACCCTCTTGTTCCAATCAAACATTGTTGCATGTGTATCATTGTTTAGTACTTTATCCACACTACCCCCCTCTAGGAACTCGTAAACCAAAAAGGCGAAACGTGGATGTAAACAATATCCATGTAACTTGACAATGTTACGATGCTTAATTTCTGCCAAAGCCCGTAACTCAGCTGTAAAAGCTTTTAAATCGAGTGTTTCGTGGTCGGGTATAGCATGAAATTTTTTCACAGCAACAATCTGTCCTGTGGATAATTTAGCCTTATAAACAGACGAAGACCCTCCTACTCCAATGACATATTTGTCATCAAACTCCTCAGTGGCTTCAATGATATTTTCGTACACTAATTTTCCATCATAACTCCATATGGAAAAATGATCTTTTAGTTCTATGTTTTCTTCAGCCTCATTCTTTTCGGATTTTGTTGCTCTCCGATAACAAATACATAAGAAAACTCCAACCACAAATGATACAAGAAATAAAGCCGCCGAAGTAAGGACTAATGCCAACACAATGACATTTGTTTTCATTTTTCCGTGACGGTTGTGACTCAACTCTAGGCAAGGACCCAACCCTTTGTTATATTTTTCATTGCATCAAATGGAGCATTGAGAAAGACTGGACTGTTAAGATATCATTAAGACACTAATATATTAAAAAAGATATTACAGTAAACTTAACATTGTTTTGTGTATTTAAATTATTATAATTCATCAAACAATTTACATAATTAAAAGTGTCTAATAATTTAAGTATTTATTTTGTGTTATTATCTTATGTATACTATATTTTTAATGTGTATCAAATGCATGTTGATGTATGATAATGCTAAGCTTATAATGGAATAAAATATAGTAATTAAGTTATGGAAGATGAGACTGTCGAGAATCAAAAAATTAAACGAAGTCATCGTGTTCGTTTTAGGACATTATTTTATATAATACTACTTATAGTCCAAAATATATAAGAAATAAATGAGATAAATTTAACTGCTAAGGATATAAATCATACTCATTGGTTTGAGTAATATTAAATATTACTATTGTTCTATCACACACAATTTTATCAGTATTTTTAAAATAAAATTTTAAATCATGGTATTACTAATTAAAACTAATTAATTTAATCATTTTTATACGTCTCGATGTGTATTTATTTTTTATATATTGAACTAGAGTCCAGAGATAGTAATAAACAGATAATTAAATTAAACATTAGTGAATATTTTGACTTTTAAATATATATTCAACATAAATTTTATATATAATATGAATATAATTAATTTTAAAACCCAAATTTGTAGGATGGGTGACACTAGAAATGAAAACAAGATGGTGTGAATTGCATTAACTTGCACATTTATTCTTATCTTCCTATTTTAAAGTGAATGTAAAATTAAAGCTATAAAGTAAAGGGTACATCAATACCCTCTCTTTCTCACTTTACACGTTTGTTAATTTATATTTTGTAAGAGCCGAATCCTTCGCCCACGTGTCTTCCACTATGTATGTTGAAGATTTTCCGATAAAATGTATACATTTTTTATTATTATTATGAGACACTGTATATTAGTCAATTATAAGTCGAAAGCAAACCTTTTCAAAAAGCTCTAGAATGTAGGTGTCACAATTTCCATAAAGCAAATCCACAAACGAAACTCATCAAAGTTGCTTCACTATCCTACAGATCAAATTCTTAACAGGGTTCCACCAGTTTGGTGAAACATCGCATCAATTTTGTTTGAATTTTTTAGATAATAGTCATAGAGCAGATATAAGCTAAAATTGTTCGAGAATTTTTCTTATTAAAAATAAAGAATATTTTTTAATAGAAAGAGTATAAATAACGATAGTATATATATTTCATCTGGTAGAAATAAGAATCCAATATTGAGGCTGCAAGAGTTGTCTATATGAAGCTTGTGTTGAAGTAATTCATTTGAAAATATTTGAATCTGTAATGGCAGAAATTGTTTGAGGAAGAGAAACTTACAGTAACAGAGCATGAGATGCAGCAAAAGGAGTTATCTTTCTTCTCTGGGGACGAACAAGGCACACAAACTCGGAGACTTGCCAAACGTCTTTTGTAGCAACTGCAAGATAACACCAGACAGTTTATATATGAGATTTGTAGATTGTAAACTCAACTAAATCTTGGGCCGGTTAATTATACATATAAATATATTAATTTATTTGTGATGTAACTAAAAAGTAATTAAATTTAATCGTATATAATTATTAATTCACTAGTTTGCTTTTAAAAAATTATAAACAAAATGAGTCTTAAGAAATAGATATAGATTGTTTCTTTAAAAAATAAAAGAAGAAATAGCTGATTTTTTATTAAATAAAATAGACTAACATATAAAAAAAACTGCTTATTTTATTAAAAAAGTATTTTCTTAAAATAAATTAAATAAATAGATCCTATATGGTTAATAATTTCATAACTATGTCAAAAAATTAAGTTATTGAAATATTTTCTAAAGATTAATTTTACATTATAAATGGTTAATTATTAACTAGTAGTTATGAAGCTTAAATCTATTTTTGGTTTATTAACCTTCATGAATATATTATTTTGGTCATTTTGTAAATTTGGTCTTTTACTTTTAAAATTAAGTAATGTTGATTCACCGTTAATATATCATTTAAAATTAAAAAAAAATAGATCCATCCATATGCTCATGAGTGACATTATATAATTGTCATATTGACTTTTATATAAAAAATAACATTATTTTTACTACAAATATATATATTTTTTACTTCAGTTAAATTTTTAATCTATTAAAATAATTTTATTATTAATTATTAATATTAATATTTTCTTATGTAGCTAATAATCATAGGTAGCACACTCAATATTTTCTATTTATTTTTGAATAACACGTTAAACATGAACTAACATGTTTAATTTTGAAAGTTAGGGATTAAATTTATGATAAAAAATTTAAGAGATCAAAATTACACTTACAAAATTATAAGACAAAAACGAATTTAAACTTAGTTATAAATATGGTGAATTTTGTCTAACAAGTAATTAATAAAGTTATGAATTATTAATAATCATACGCTATTAACAACATTTGTAAAATTATTTTAAATTTAAAATTAATTGAATGTGATTGTACCAAGTATGAACATACGATCAATAATATTACGAAATTATTAAAATATTTAATTATAGTTAACTAATTGAAAAATGAAATTGATTAACTCCTTATATGTGTGTGTGTGATATTATTGTACATTCGTAAATTGTCCATGTACACTGGTTAATCACATAATTTTCTGATGTGTAATATACAGGGGCGGAGGCTGGGGGGCAGCAGTCAAGTCTTTTTAATTTTGTTAAAATATTCTAAATGTAAATATGATTTTACCCCATTTCATTTTTTCAATCTTATGTTCAATATAATTATTTATTTGTTTTGTTTATAAAAAATATTAATTATATGCAAAAAATCTTATGCATGTTGTATGTGTAAATTTTTTTAATAAAATAAATGGTGTAATTTTTTTATAGTGACTCCCTCTAAATGAATATATATATATATATATATATATAATAATTTTAAATTTTACAACATATGATCGACCTTACATCTTACAGAAACACATAAGATAACTTTCTTCCAAGTATTACGAAACTGAGGAAACATGCAACACACTTGATAAAAACATGTAAAACGCACATACAAAATATTAACATAGGAAAAAAAAAAAACTTGCAACACACTAGACAACAAGGGTCAATTATTGACAAGTTGACCAAGAGTGATCATGGGGAATAGATCCACTGAAGATGATTTTGGCATCACAAACTCGTTATGCACTTGTTCCATGCTTGGACGAAAACGTGGACTTTCACTTAAGCAAGCAAATGTTATTTTTGTAATCAAGATCACTTCTTCAACATCTGGTTTCGCTGGCTGAGGGAGTCGTTGGTCCAACACATCCTTTAACAGCAAATTAGACGCTGATGACGTTTCAGAAGATGAAAATAATGAAATGAGATTTCCCGGATGTTTTCCCATTATTATTTCCAAACAAAGCACTCCAAAACTAAACACATCACATTTCTCATTCACTTCCATAGTATAAGCAAGCTCTGTAATAGATCACAATATGAAAGTCACATTATACAACATTAAGTACAAGAGCTTATTACTGAAACAAGTTTATGATTAATTTCTTAAGATCAAAAAGGGTCTAACCTGGTGCAGAATACCCATAGGTTCCAGCAAACGCGGTTAAATTGTGTGAATCAGGATTTAGAATTTTAGCTGTTCCGAAGTCAGAGATGCGGGCTTCATAATCCAAATCTATAAGTATATTCTTGCTTGATATGTCACGATGAACAATAGGAGGAAAGCAACCATGATGCATATGATACAAAGCATTTGCCACACCTTTAACAACCTTCACCCTTTTGTTCCAATCAAACTTTGTTGCATGCATATCATTGTTTAGTACTTTATCCAAGCTACCCCCTTCTAGGAACTCGTAAATCAAAAAGGTGAAACGTGGATGTAAACAATATCCTAATGACTTCACAATGTTACGATGCTTTATTTCTGCCAAGGCTTTCACTTCATTTGTAAAAGCTTTTAAATTGAGTGTTTCCTCGTCGGATACCTCATGAAGTTTTTTGACAGCAACAATTTGTCCTGTGGATAATTTTGCCTTATAAACATATGCAGACCCTCCTTCTCCAATGAGATATTTGTCATCAAACCCCTCTGTGGCTTCAATGATATTTTCATACAATATTTTTCCATCATAACTCCATATGGCAAAATGATCCTCCACTTTTTCTTCTTTAGCCTCCTCCTTTTTGGCTTTTGTCGCTCTTCGATAATAAATACACAACGAAACTCCAGTCGTGAATACTAATAGAAACAAAGCACCCAAAGTAAGGAATGATGCCAACATGATGGCTTTTCTTTTCATTTTACCACTGTGACTCAACTCTGGGCAAGGCACCAATCCAGAGGCATTTCCACACAAGCCTTTATTATTTTTCAATGCATCAAATGGAGCCTTAAGAAAAGCTGGATTGTTAGGAATTGAACCCTCTAATTGGTTGTTGGATATGTTAACATTTGTCAAGCTAATCATGTCCTTAAAACTAGATGGAATGGCTCCAGAGAGATTATTGTGGGAGAGGTTTAGTGTTTCCAATCTTTGCATACTTGCAAGTGCCACTGATATTTCTCCATTTAACAAATTCCAACTAAGATCAAGATCTTCAAGAGATTGCAATTGGATAAACGAAGGAATTCTTCCTCTGAATTTATTCTTGCTCAAGTTCAAGTGAAGTAAATTGAGCAATTCTCCCACCTGTTTTGGAATTGGGCCACCAAAATTATTTGCTGCAAGCTCCAAATTTTGAAGGCGGGACAAAGCACCTATCTGTGTAGGAATGTTGCCATAAAGTTCATTGTCACTTATTGACAGATCAAACAATGAGGTCAAGTTCCCAAGTTCTTCTGGAATTTTTCCTGTTAGATGATTTGAAGACAAATCAAGTATTTCTAATTTGGGTGCGTGGCCAAGTTCTGGCGGTATACCACCGCTTAAATTGTTGTTGAACATCTTAAGGCTTGTGAGATTAGGACATTTTGCCCAATTTGGTGAAATGTGGCCATAAAAATTATTGCTACTCAACTCAACAAAGGTCAAATTTGGATATACACCAAAATCATCTGAGATATTTCCGCTCAACTGGTTTCCTGATAGGTTAACTCTGGTAAGACTAGAGCAATTTTTCAGGCTTTTTGGAACTGGACCCGTGAAATAATTAGAGTTGGCAGCAAATTTTCTCAATGACCCACCAAGACAAATTTGTTGTGGCAAAGGACCAGTGAAACTATTTGAAGATAGTTGTAAGCTCTGAAAATTGGTAAAGTTATTCAATCCTGGTGGTAATCTACCTTGAAGTGTGTTATTAAACAATAACAAAAAGACAAGGTTTGTCAAATTTCCTAGGCTGGAAGGAATAACTCCAGTAAGATTGTTCCTAGAAAGGTCCAATGCATATAGATTGACCAAGTTTCCGATGGTGTTAGGAATGGATCCAGAAATCATGTTTAGGGGAATGTAAAAGTTGACCAGCTTTGTCAAGTTTCCAATATTGGAAGGAATGGACCCTGAAATACTATTATTCTGGATTTCAAAGTCAGTCAAAGTGACCAAGTCTCCTATGTAGGGTGGAATGGAGCCAGAGAGAGTATTGTTTGAGAGCCTAAGGAGTTGTATATTTGTCAAGTTTCTAATCGAAGGAATTGTCCCAGAGATAGAGTTTTTTGACAAGTCAAGTTTAACAAGATTTGCCAACATTCCAATTGTTGGAGGAATGGTGCCAGAAAGTTGATTTTTTGCTAGTATTAGCTGCTTCAAGTTCCGCAATTCTCCAATCTCTTCAGGGATTGAACCACTAAAGAGATTATCATCCATTTTCAATTGAGAAACTCTGGATAAGTTAGCAATTTGTGGAGGAATAGTTCCACTAAAACTGTTGTTACTAATATCAAGACTAAGCAACTTGGGAAAAGATGAGAAGTTGAGACTGTGAAGAGTACCTTTTAGTCCAAAGTTTGTAACATTAATATCGGTGACAGAGTTGGAATTGTCACAAACAATTCCTTTCCATGACTTGCAAGGACTTACACGAGTGGTCCATGAAGAAAGAGAGGCTTGGCTTTGGTTGTCAAGGCTCACTCTCCACTCAAATAAAGCACTTGCTTCCCTCTCTTGGTTTTCCGCAACTTCATAAGCAGAGATCGGAACAAAGGCAAAGGAAGAAAAGGTGAAAACTTTAAGAACTTGGGAGGAATCAAGACATAAAAGTGAACAGAGAATTAGACGAAATAATAATAGCTTAGTGAAGGCCATGTTTTAGCTTTTGGGTCATTATGGTATAGCACAAGATGTTGGACAGCAAGAGCTGGTAATATAGACAGCGACGAATACAAAAACACTATAACACTGAAACCATGAACTTTGGTTATTTTTAATTTATATAAAAAGGAATTAATAATTTAAATATTAATTAAAATCCAGATACAAAGGCTTTTTTGCACGATCACAATGCTCATGATTAAAAATTTGCTCACGATAAATGTGAAAGTATGTGAATGTTTTACGTGTACCTAACAAATTGACCAAAATTAGTGTGTATTTCACAGTCAAGTACTTTTCTGTAAGTGGCAGCGATCATAATGACACCACTATGGCAAAAGTCGTTCAATGACTTTATTATTTTCTAAAAAGAAAAAGTTATATGGATAAACAGATACACAATAGAGAGAGATAGTGATGCCATTATTTCGTTTCTTTTAAAATGGGCAGAGTCTAAAGTGAAATCATGAATGTAGTATATCGGTGAAGCACGAAATTTCATCTATGTATGTTATAATTAGAGAATAGAAAACAAAAAAAAAATGTTTACCTTCTCACATTCTATTTAATGAATTTTTTTATAATTTAATAATTTTCAATAAAATTTAATTAATAAAAATGAATATATTAAAAAAATATGTTAAAAAGTGTGTTTCATGTTCTCGTTCGTTGTAGAAGTGATCAATAATTGAGTATGGTTAATCTCAGCCTAATATAATTCAAATCGATATAACTCATGATTTATATTATTTAGACTTAAATTCTACCAAATTACTTATCTATTTAGGCGGATTTCAATTTGGACGTGTCTTAATTTTATCAGATGATTTTCTACGATAGAAATGTATTCAATTTTAAATCATTTAATTGATCTAAATAAAATTTTTATCCAATTTATTATCTATTTCTTTTTCAATTCTTATATAATTTTTTATTCATTCAGTCATACAAATATTATTTAGTTCGTGTAAGAGTCAAAATGAATAAAATCATTCAGCTTTCAAATAATTTAAATATTATAATAATTTTTTTAGGTACATAATATAAAAAGGAAGATACAAACTACACTCTCAACTAGAATTTTTTTTTACATCAACAATAAAGATTAAAGATGAACCAAAATAAGCTTAACTTTAATTTAGACCTAAATGATAATTATTTTGACCTTTATTTTATTTAGACGATTGGATCAAGTACCAATGAATCCAAAAACTTGAATCAAACTTTACCAAAATTAACTATTTTAAATCATATTTTTATTTTTTTAATCTTTCTAAATCGATAATTTATTCAAATTCACCCATTTGTTTTTTCTTTTTTCAATTTTTTTATATTTCAAATCGGATTTCCGATCGGTGCTCACTCCTAATTCATTGTCATCATGAACCAAACCACCTCCATCTTTCACCTACAACCATTGATGAAATATGAATAAAGTGATTAAATATTGCAAAATTTCATCTTGGTGACTTTTGTACCCAATCATCGATCACCAGCTTAGTTTTGGATCCTTGTCGTAGTATAATAATTTATTTTTATTTTTAATAAGTGTTCTGAAATATTCTATAGCCAAATAGGACCCAATAACTTATCCTCATTAATAAATAAATAAAAACTAGAATGTTATAAAGCCGAAAGATCAGTCAAAAAGAAATATGTATTATTTCTTCTTTAACTTCTTTCCTCTAGTCAAGGGTCGGGTGGTAATTGCCTCACCGTCCTCAAGTTTGTATTAAGAATATAAGGGGTAAAACGTCATGAAAATTTGTACCATTGTTAGTTTATATCAACAGAATACGCTAATTGATCTTTACATTATAAGAAAGACTTCCATTATAAGAGATTTTTATACATAGATCTACCGTTAATTTTATTATTCAATATTTATGAGTAAGTCACCTAATCAAACTATCAACTTTGATATAAGAATTAATTGGATCTATAACATTATTGGGACTTAAAACACTCAAATTGAAAACGGTTAGTACTCATAATTTCTGTACTTCTTAAAGACATCTTTTAGAACAATCAAGTTTTCAAATAAATGGTAACTTAATATTTAACTTATAATTATCATCGAAATTAGGTCAATTAAGTATTATACACATACTCAACTCACTTGTTTGTTAGAGTTGACTCAATAAATATATAAATACGTAGTGATTTCGAAAACTCAAATTTGATCATTCAATAAAATCAAATCAACAAAAAAAGATATTAGATGGTATATCCAACTCATATTTTAATAAAACAATATATATTAATCAATAAAAGACTATATAAAAAAATTCTATCAATTTAGACAGTAGAATAAGCTTTTCTTTATATAAAATTATCTAACTTCCCTCAAATAAAAACAAGATTAAATAATTCATAAAATATATTAGTGTAAAAAGAGAATTTTTTGATGCACTTTTTATATCAAACGACATATAAAGTAGTATGTTGATATACATGTAAATATGTTAAAACATTTTATGATAGGTGTTGACTTACCCATTATAAAATGATCTTTCTAAGATAGGTTAATCAACACTCATCATAAAATGTGTTGGTCAGCCTTAGATTTTAGCCTTTATACAACAGATGTTGACTTATCCCTCATACAAAGAAACATTATCAACATTATATGTCGAGTAAATCATAACTCACCATAAAAGGTCTCATAATTACTCATAATGAGAGGGTGAATTTGTTGTTTCATCTTCTTCTTCACACATGAACTAGAGATAATTTTCGGGGACTCCTTTGTTCACACTACCTACTTGTTTAGGCAACCATCATGATGAAAACATTTCAGAAACCACTTCTCGTTTAGTTCCCCTTCGCTTTAGTGATCTTCTTCTTTAGTTTTCCTTTACACACATTCCTAGGTTTGAAGTTTTTCTTTTCCTTCTCCCATGTTTTTAGGCTTTCTTGCGGGTAATATGCATATTATTTTAAATGTAGGTTTGCTCATTACCTGTTTACTCATTTTGGGTTTGCTCATTATATGTTTTAATGAAATGTGTACAAAAATTGTATGCACTAAAGAATTGATTTGAATATTAGTTAGATATAGGGTGTGTGTGGTTCCTTTGAAGCCTGCATAGTTATATAAATAGCAACATTATTAGTCAATTTAGATAGTTGATAAAATTATAGACAATCTTAAGTTAGTTGAAATGTAAAAACTTAGAAAGTATTACATTAGACAATTTATATAATATGTTTTTAAATTACTTGATATTATATAAATAAAAATAAAAAAAAACATGTTAGGTACCTATATATATATAATATTGGACATTAAATTAAATATCTTTGAGGTACCTATAATTTTAGACATTTATGATAATTAGTATATTTGTGTTAGTATAATCAAATAACAAATTATTAGTTACGTAATGTTAGAAAATAAAAATTTAAATTAAAAAATATTAGCTTAGTGATATTAGTCAATTTAGAATATATAAATTAAAAATTAAAATCTTTAATTAAAATATATTTTTTATTACACTTTAAGTTAGTAATAATTAAATGAACTTAAATTATTACTAATTTAATTTTTCTTGTGTTGACATGACTAATTACATTGGTATATTATATTTTTGAATTTTATTTATGAGTTTTAATTAAGCATGATTATATGCTTAGTTATCTCAAAGCATTATATTATAGTTGTTAGGAACATTGATCGATTGTGAGTAAATTTTAACTTCTCGTTTGAGATTGAATACAATGGTTACACATATAATATGTAATCATTGCATTGAATCTTAAATTGTCCATTTGGATAATTTGGAAAGATATATATTTTTATAGTTGATTAATATATATATTAAGTTTCATTATAAATTTAATAAGATTTTGGTTAATTGCATTTCTTGTTATTCTCTAGGTGCATACTTTGTAACGCCCGATTCTAACGCCTAATTTATATAATAATAATTATATATTTCTTATATAATATTTTCGCAAATATATCGTTAACAATATTTTTTTTATGGATAAAGATAAAGAAACAGAATATTTTGTGAATTTAATACATAACATAAGTATTTATAATAATGTATTATTTTACACAATATTTCTTTCTTTCACTTCTATTACAAACTTTACATTGATAATAGAAATAAATTTACAATAAAAATTATAATAGATTCATCAAATAGCCTCCACATTCCAATTTCTTCCAAGAAAGACAACAGCTATAATCACTGCAAAATGCTCTGGAATCCCAAGTAGATCCATCTATTTTATAATATATTTAATTTTAAAAACAAAGAAAAGAGAGGAGTAAGAACAATATCCAATAAATACAATAATTCAAAAGAATATACAGAATTATTTATAATCAATATTAAACATATATATATATATATATAAATATATATACAGATCATATATTAGATTTTCATGATACAATAAAATTTGAATTATACTTGTAGTGACTAGTCAGGATAAATGAGCATCATCATAATATTAACCAATAAAAGGATATTTCACCTTAACCAACAATAGGATATTTCACCTTCATTTTTTACTCATTTAAATCCCCAAGGTCAAACCTCCAGCTACAAATAATTCAAACTTTATCTTCTATGGCCATAGAACAATATTTATCTTCATAAATATGTGAAGAAATAACAAAACGAGTCCAAGATATCACAACTATATCATAGTTGATTATAAATATATTTACAATAAATATATTTACGTAAAAAAAATATATTAAAAGTACCAATGATATAAATAAAAATGACAATAATTATAAAATAATTAAACAATATAAAATATGAACACCTTAATAATTAATATGGACAACAATAATTATAGGTTAAGCAAATAAATGAGGTTAGGGACACCCCACTAAATAAATACACATAAAAAATAACATAAATAAATAAAAATAGTAGTAGATAAAATTTTAAAGAGATAAGGTTCTCCTCCCCCTTACCTGGATAAGTAGGAGCTAAAACTTGGGCAAGATCTCCCCCTCTGGATCCTATAACGACCCGGCTGGTCACTACACACTACACAGTACACCTGAAAACCAGACATAAAGGAACAAGTGTATACATATAGTGTCTA